TCCTATTGGGAGGGTTCTGTCCTCCTCTAGTGTCGCGACCCCTTTTAGGTCGATAGCTAGTTATCATCTCTAGGACACTAGCCAGCCCGACTGTAGTGCCTGTGCACTACAGTTTCCACCCGTTTCGACATTTCCACTGTTTGTTTGTTCTTAATTCCCTGCTTACAGCTTTTCTTGGATTCTGGATACATTTTTTCACGCATATGTAATCGTTTTTGTTTCTAATGCTTTGCTTTGTGTAGCCATTGGTAAAAATGGCATCGCTCTGTGGGGCCTATTTCCGACACTGCTAGATGACGCTCAAGTTTTAACTGCGGCTTTGCACCTTCGAAACCACAATGAAAGCGCTACCGAAAATTCAGTGAGTGGTTGGCATCCAGCCGGTTTTTTCACGTGCCGGTTTTGATAAGCTAGATATGTGCCGCTGTGTCATTCTGTGAGCCCTCAGCCACAACTTTAGACGTCAGCCTGCAGGCTTTAGAAATAATCATTAAAAAGTCCGCTCTAATTCGTACCCTGCAGTTGTTTAGCACGTCCTTAAGGCGCCAGATAATCAGCATAAGGGTGGTTTGCATCAGGGGTAGAGCCCATTCCGTGTGACGACTTTGGAGGTAGACATGGTCTGCTGCCTTCGGCATTCAGCAGCGTGTCCGGCTCTCGGTCGCCATCAGTGGTATGGTGGGGATTGGTGGCACTGACAGATTGTAACAACACTCTCGCAGCAGGTATCAAACGCACTAGCCGGCTGTCACGTGAGTTCGCTTTCCGAATGCTTCCGAAAGACTTCTGCAGTGCTGAACTGCTGGGTCTGAGGGGTGTGCTTCTGTGGACCACTGGAATGAGCCTTTCGAATTTACAGGGCGCTGGTGCCTAAGAGCAACTCGTCTCCACTATAAGGAAAATATAGTTGTTGGTCAGGGTTGGTCTGTTATTTTGCACAACAGCGCCAAATTGTTCCTGTCTGGCTCTTCGCCGTAGTGAGCTGCAAGAGGCTTCACGGTGCCTCGCAATCTGCTCCTTCGCTCTCTCGATTGATTAAAACTTAAGTTGGTCAGCAGGCTCTAGAATAGAGCAGTGACGTTTCTGAAGTTGCGAAGCAAGCCCCATCTGGACATTCTTTTCTATAGAATGCTTGGGGATAGACAGCCTACTGTGTGGCTGGCTGCCACGGGAAATGCGCAGATGCTTCGCTCATATGCTGTGCAAATCCAACAGCGGTTCTGCATTCTCAAGCATGCTCACGTTTGCAAGTTCATCATATATAATTATGGGAAAGGAGTAGGTCGAGAACAGCGTTTCACTCGAGAAAAAGCACAGAGATTTGTCCCAAGCATCGATGCCTACGGGACAAACTAGCACAGGTGGCACAGGTGGCAACCAAAAATTGTCCCACCGACTATAGATAACGTCAATGCGTTTCTTGACACTGTCATTTTTTGGCTCCACGCAACAGAACCAGACATGGTGGCTCAAGTTCGATGGATGGAGGCATTTTACGTTGCGTTGGCGGATCGCTGACATTATTTTCGGCTCTTGCCACTCATGCGGCTTCTATATTTATTTTCAGAACAACTGTAGCGAGGATATGGCTTGTCCATACTCCACAGATGGTAAGTAGGATATTATCGAACTCTTGAACGCTTAATATGCGAATTTCTTGCCAGACTTCCGCAGAGGTTCGGCAGAATTGGACGCATAAAAGTAATAGTTTCTCCTTATCGTAAATTAATAACTTTAAAAAAGGAGTGAACCGCCGAAGAAAAGAGTTCAGAGGCTATCTGCAGAGGCTATGTGCTACCTAACGGGCGTAAACATACGACTCTGTTGGATGCTGCAGCGCTGTCCACAGGCCTTCACCAAGCTCGTCGCCTGTAGCACCGCTTTTCTTTGGTGACACTGTTCTTCAGCTCTTAAAAGTACACTAGGTGCCAGTTTACCCTCTCAGGGAGTGAGTTGGGGAAGCCGATGCATGCCGCCGGAGGAAGTGTTGTGCGTATGGATTCCATTGCGGCCCTTGGGAGATGAGCTAGACCCCATATGACTGTTGCCTGCTTTCTTTGACTTTTTGGAACACCCAGAGAACTTTTTTTTAGCAACATAGCTTCGTCAAAATCTTCACTCCGCATAAGCTTGCACTCTCGTGTCCCGTGGGGGAACTGTGATTGGTAGTTCATGCCTCAAGGTTGTTCCCGCATCTTGTCGTCTTAAATGCAAACGCCATTAAACAGGACGCAGGAAAGGGTTAAACCATTCGAAAACTTAGCATCATCCGGAATGGAACACCTCGACGTGGTCATGTTCGCATACTGGGGACAAAACTGCGTAGCAAGTCGTTTAAAAAGCTAAGGCTAGTATCCGGTGTGAAGGCAGCACGTTGTCTTTACCATTACCGAATGCTTTGTCGACTTTTGGCAGCTCATGTGCGATAGGAGGGTCCTCACTGGATGCTCACTGTCTCCAGCTGACACGTATCAACTACCTGGCAGACACTGCTCTAAAAAATGCAAAGAATCATGAACTGTGTGTAAATTCACGGCTTAATGCCTCGAGATCTAGTGTCGCAGGATGTCGTAAACATTGAATCATTGCACCCAGAGCAGTCTCCTATACCAAGCAGACGTGTTATTAGATCTCCATATGTATCACTGGGTTTTATATAAAATTCTGCTTTCCTTTCGCTGATCCCACAGCTTTCATGTGTACGTACATACAGGATGCCCCATAGTTTATATGCAGAGGAATGACACCTGTTTAGTGTGTTTGACTATTCGTGATTATTGTGACATATGTAACACTCCACTTGCTTGCCTGAAGCACTCAGAAGGTCAGGACAGTCTCAATGCCTGCAAAGCCTAATTGCATGCCGCCGCCAATCTGAGCACCATTGCGTCTCATACATCTTCGTCGTACTCGCTGCCTCTGTCTTAACCGCGCAGCTGTACTAAATTTTATCAATTCTGGGCTGTTTTGCAGTTGCTTATAATTGTGTGTGGCTAGAGCCCTTATAGTCAGCGTTTATACACCTGAAATCATGCCAAATGGCTCTCTGCGGCGGAAGAGCACTGAGTGCCTGTACTTCCTGCGCTTCGGTGTCAACGCAATGTATTGACGACCGGGTCAGCGAACGGAGTGATTTGGCCCCCCTCAGTTACGTTTACTCCGTTTTCAACGAACCTTGGTACTCTAGGCCTGCAATATCTTGTTTAGCGCTGAAATGACTTCTAATGATGAAGTCATCACGGCGCCGTTGAAAAAGCCAGACAAATCTATACGAGATTTACTACGCATAGTGGATGCTCACTTCCTGAAGGTTCAAACGAATATAACAGTCAGTAAAGTTCAGGGGCTCTTGTGTCCCCCTTTTGGCTTTTTGTGGACTTCCGGAAGTGGGTGGCCACTCCTGCTCGTGCAGTCCCGATGGCCAGTGAACTGCTTGTGCTTCCTTCTTCAGCATATCACCACGAGAATGAGTTTACGTTTCAATAGTAACCATCAATATAATTTTAAGAATAAAAAGAAGAACGAAGCACTTACGGGCTTTCGAAGGCCCTATAATCCCCGAGGAGACACGGCTGTTGAAGGCGGCCTCGTGTGGCCGTTGGTCACTATCCCGATCCCCAGAGCTTCTTTTCAGCCGCAAGACGACGGTGGGACAACTGTCTACTCACAAACTATGGACCTTTGAAAAGAGTTTTTATACAGCTTTCGATGAAGCCCTGGCTTTTACTTGCAGCTCGTTATTTTTTTTCTGCACACCATTGCCGAATGCGAGGAAACTTGAGGTCAAGCAGACGGAAGGAGAATCTCGAGACTGAGGGACAGACAGGAGCGAATTTTGCTTTGTGCACTTCTTAAAAGACAATTCAGCATTTTAGGGGACAATTTGCACATATTTTCAGACATCTGTTGGAGCGCGCGTTCCTGGTGTGTGGAGGCTCACTAGGATTGTAGAACTCAGAAAACGGCCCCTAGCACTTAACATCGGCTAATTCAGAAGCATCTGCTGCTTGAAACTGTGCTAGGTAAAATGAAGGCACTCAAGCCAGTACAGGGCCTGTTCCTGGCAGCCTGTGCAGCGCTTGTGGTCAACTGGACAAGCGTTAGCGCGCTACACAGTGAGTTTCGATTAGGTTGCGATCATGTATCAACACCTCATACTCTGTAATTCTGTATTAACCTGTTTGTACTTGTTCCTTTCTCTCTAGAGATACTGATGTAGGTGTCGATGCGCTGCGATTCAGGCATGTCGCCAAACTGGTTTCGCCGGAAATTTTCTGGGGTGAGTTGTGATCCGACCCACTTATTGTAGAAAGGGCTTTGTATAGCCCTTTCAAGGCGTACGTGCTTTAAATTTTTGTGTGTATCCGTTTTGATGTATGTGCACAGGTCCAAAACAAACTTAAGTGGATAAAGCCACGAACGGTAAGGACAAGGTACACACGTCTAAGTCTAAGGAAAGGCTAACTGTTCCGAGTCATGAAGCCAACCATTTGTGATGTCGAAATTTGCAGCCCGTAGCATCGAGTGACCTTGCTGAAGTGAAAACTCTAGCAGATTTAGTTCGCCGCTTGGATTTCGCCGGTTTTAAAGGCCCCTGGACTGAAGCGGACTTTTTTTCGATTTTCAACAGTGAGTACGAGAACAAAAACCCAAGATACTCCTGACATGCACCTAAGTGACACATTACATAGCTCTGTAGTGTGATTGTTCGCAGCTTCATCTTGATCCTGTTCTCAGATCTGAAGGATTGCTTCAAAAGCTTTTCGCCACCTCCTGGGCTTGCACTGGATTTCTCAGTGGATGCGTCATGGAGTCCGGATGACACCATCAAAAATTTCTTCAAGTTCATCCCTCCTTCAGAATTTATTCATCCCCCTGTCTCTGAAGACCCCAACAACACGAGCTTCGCAGAAATTACTGCTGATGAAGCTCCACGTCTTGTTGCTGAGCGTGATCCTCCAGAGGAACAACAGGCAGAACAGTTCAAACCTCTTAGAACAATGCTTTATGCCAGAAGTGAGAAGCATATTCTTGCGCACATTATGAGAAGCGTCTACTCGCACTTCCGAGGACCGGCGTGCCTGAGAATGGCAAAACGGCTTGATGGAATGGTCCGCTTGCTTTTGAGAAACAACTCAAAAGCTAGAGCGCTGGAGCCAATACTAGTATTTTCATTACTTCAAGGAAATGTGGCCTCCGCTGCCAAGTTCCGCGGTGAAGCGTCGAGCAGTTTGCCAGAAGAACCTCATTCGGATGGGCTACAGCATGCTGACTCATCTCAGATGCTCACTGACGCCTCCCCAAGTGCTGGAATTTATGACCCGTTTCTTCTCATCAACTACTTTGACCTTGGTACGTCATTCGCGTAGGTTTGCACAATTTCGCCGCTTGCTCTGTGCATTTCAATAATTGGGCTGTGTACGCTGTAACGTACGTTTTACGTTGTGGGTTCCACAGCTAAAAGTGCCGATACACCTCAAATGAAGAAGCTAAACAGGCTACTGCAAAAACCAGCTGACGCAAGGAAAGTGGGCAACAAGCTTTTTGGCAATTCGCTCGGGGACCCGGCCATGCATGAAAGGATTGCTGGAATTGCAGAAGCTGTTGGTGACAATGCCGATATTTTGCGGAGGGTCGTCGAACAGATCGGCCAGATATCCATAAATTCAGCGGAGGCTGTTTCCATCCTCATCCCCCAACTGCCGAACATTGCTGACCTCGTGCGTGGTGCCTCCTTCTTCGCCTTTGAAAGTGTTTTCAAGCAACATGGTGAGACAGCAGCTGTCCGCTGCCCTGCGCTGGCAGCGCAAGCCATTATACCTTGCTAATGAGAGCGTTGGCCTCTGGAATGCGGTTCAGGCGCTTATGTCATGCCGGGATTGCCATGTGGAGGCAACGTGACGGGCAGTATGCTAGAAACGTTAACAGGGAAGAAACTCGGCTCGAATTATTTTGTATACAAATACACGGAACCCGTCCTGCACAACTCGTTTCTCCCGCCAAGCGTGTGGAGACCACATCCAGAGTCCCAGGTAGCACGGTACTTTAGGGAAGAACAGCAAGCAAACGGCGAGTACATGTTACGTCACGTCCCTCGGGTTTGCGTGCGCCCCAAATTATTCACAAGATGCTCGAAGAAACCACCGTCAGACACAAAAACCAACGAGCAGTTGCTCTGCCACTTCATCAATGGCCATCAAAGCTATTTTTTTGAAGTAAACGGTGAGATCGAACTGCAACTGAACAGGGTCCGTCCCCAGGTGTGCCCCAATTGTGAGGTAACTAAGTTGTGCGTAAATGAGGATTCGTTTCACTGCTCTGCAGGAAACGGCGTGTATGCAATGCGGAGGAACATGGAGAGAAGCCGTGCCTTAAGGGAACGCAATGCGCTTCGCCGCGGTATCCAGACAGTTCGTCGGTTTCTCTTAAGCAAGACGTCGGTTGCACTGGTTCTCGGTGCAGGCGTTGGTGCCCTGTGTGCTGGAGCAGGATTGGCCGGGATTTTAAGCGGATCGCTTTGCGCAGTCGGTGCAATAGCAGCTGTCTCAAACTTGCGCTTATTATTTGCAGTCGCACCGTTCGCAGCCAAACCTGCTCTTCCCCTTAGCCTTGGAGCATTCCTGGCAAGTGAATTCGAACGCAATGTTGGCATTGTGAAAAATATGCTTGGCGTGATTGCGAGCGGAAGTACGCAGGTGACGACGACAGAAGAGAGTACAACTGCGCTGTAGTAAATTTATTTGTTGGATAGTCTGAATGGTCACACATGAGTTACCATTCAAGCCCCCGTTGCTCTCAACATTGGTTTTGAATTAGACCTCAGCACAACGCGAATTCTGCCCAATTATCTCTCTACGAGCTTTTCATTTCGAGAGGTCGCCCTAGTGTATCCCACCACTCGACTCCAATATAAAGTCGCCAGCGTATACAGCGGCGAAGGTGTCATCTCACACACACAACATGAACCTCATGAGCGTGGAGTAATTTTATGCTTTGGAGAGCAAATTTGCAGAATATTAATTCCTTTTGGCCTTTACGGCATTGCCAAGCGTCGTCTGCGGAGCAGACCTGTTGTGGGATCGCTATGGCTACGCCAGGTCGTTGACTCATAGTGACTCCACATCGTGTAAATGCCCACACGTTGTCACTAAATTACTTACAATTCATGCATGCTTCCTGGTAAACTTAAATGTGTGTTTCCTATGGGAATATATGCCATCCACGGCATTATGTTCCACATTTCCTGCCAGCGTGAGCGCAGTGAGCTATAACGTGAACAGATTCATGCGCTCAAACGCTCTGTTGAGCTCCTTGCCAACTCCTCATTCCATTTTGCCCTTGAGGAAGGAACGACGAGAAAAACACTGCGCTTCTGCTGTTGGCAGTCCTGAACTCCGCCTCGAACTTTTTGTACAAAATTGTTCGGTGAATTCATATGCATCAAAGCTTTTTGCTTCTAGTGAATGACGAGAACGTTGGCACTCAAGAAGCCAGTTCCGGGTTAAATACAACTCCCGATAGCTGCTGCTGAGCCGACATTCTCAGGGCTTCATAATATCCTGCTACATACGAAGCGTAGCCTGTCGCGAGGTCACCGACAGGCTGTGCTGGAGGGAAAGCGCCTGAACGAAGCGGTTTACCACCCATTCACAGCGGGAACTGCAGGAAGGAGAGTCTCTGAGTCAGCACCAGGAGCAACAGAGGCCACGCTCAAGAACTACACATTACTGCGTTCACTAGCTATACTGCTTAAGACAAAGGAGTTCTGCTGTTGGGTAGTTTTACTCAGATATCGGGGTTAGGAAATGAGCAGCAGTGATGTTAATATGCAGAAAGTAGTGCCCACCTTGGTGCTGCGAAGAGTCTCCGCATGTCTTTACTGCTTCCACTACTGATGCGGCAACGCTGATAGATTGGCTAAGCAGCGTCACAGCCTGCAGCAAAACGCCCGGTCATGCTAGCACACGACGAAATGTTCATTTATAAATAACAGCCAGCCACCAGCCGGCCCCTTTACTATGACCCTCGGAGTGAAACACAAGACTCGCCTGTTTTTTGAAATCGTCGCTGGTGATGGCATCCATAGCTCTGTCTACTGCCCCCAGCAATACAACTGCGCCGTCCTGCAGCTCTCCGGCTTTCTCACTTCCTACTCCCACTGTTTGCCACAGTTCTTGGCCCCTGCCGGAAGTCTCGCCGCCGGAAACTACTCCCTGGTCTCTTGGTGTTTCAAAGGCACTCTGCCCCGAAGCTGAAGAAGCAAAAGCCACTGCAGCAGATGCTGCTCCTGAAAACATTTCTCCGACGCGCTTCGCGGTTGATATGACGGAGTACTCTGCAGATTGCGAATTGCTTTCGCCTTCTTGCTGCTGCTCCGCTTCTTGCCTAACAGTTATTTCGTTTCCGCTGTCATAAGCGGATGAGAAACATAACACATGCGGGAAGCAGCTGCTCCGCGAGCGTGTGCGCTGTGCGTCCTGGTGCGCATCTGCCTGCTGCTCTGCGAGAGTTTCCGCACTGCAGGTTTCTGCACTCTCTGCAGGACAAACTCCCGAAACCTGGCCGTTAGACTGATTCATAGGCTTTCCAGTAGAATCTTTTGGCATTTTCTTGATCGCTTCCGCTGCTTCTGCTGCGCGTGCTGCAGCAGCAGCAGCACGCTCCCCAGCTGCTGCTCTAAGGGCAGCTGCGACACGGTGAGCCACTGAGCAGCTATGCGGGCTTAAAAGTGCTTGAGAGGCACCCTGATGCTGCTTCCAAGCTTGTTCGCTTCCTTCTGCCAGCATGTGTGAAGGGACATAAATGCGTTTCTCGGGTGTCCGCCTTGCTCGTTCGTCCACTTTCTGGTCCTCAGCAGTTTCTAATTGCTTGTTATGAGGTGGCGAGACATCCGTCGAACCTTTCAATTGAAGGCCCAGTTGCGTCTCCAGTTGGGGGCAGGGCTGCCCTTCATGCGACGGCAATTCATCCTGTTGCTTGTCCTGCTGCACCGTGGAACCTTCTGCAAGGGGAGGGCATGTCTCGGGCTGAGCGTTATGCGGCAAAGAGTCTTCCTGCTGAAGAGTTTTGGCGCGTTCCTGCAGAGAATTACTGGAGTTAGAAGATCCGTTGTTTGGAGAACCCTGGAGACTGGACGACTGCTCAGGTGTTCCACTTGCTACCTGTGGCTCCGCCGCAGTTGACACTTTTTTCAGAATTTCGACCTCTGTACTTATTTTCCCATTATTCTGAACATCAGTTGCCGCCTTGTTCCGGCGTGCGCTGGCTCCGGCTGCTTTGCACGGAAGGCAGGTTGAGTTGTTGGCCCCCATTTCACCCGATAATCGGTATTCCACTTCGCAGGGACGGCCTCGTAATGACAATGTGTTGACACTGTTACCGAGGTGAAGTCCTACTAGCGAAGCGGGGAGCCTTCACTGCACCTATCTCGAAAACAGAAGGGGTGTAATCACAGCGGCAGGGATGTCGGCTCAGCATTACGAGCAACAGCCTTGCCCTTTTTCGACCAACGATATAAGCATTTTCTTATGATTCCTCATGTAATGTATACAAAGCCATTGGCTAGGCTGTCATTGTTGAGCGGGGCCATATTGTTACACGCCCAGCCGAAGTGCGGGGTCAGCTGGCGACGGCAGCGGCGCCTGGCATCAGACGTCTCCAGTGCTGCTCGATTACTCTCCCAGGAGTTACTCCCTCAATTTGTAGACAGCACGAAACCCTATTACTTTTAAGCTTAACATATTGTACACCAATTAAAAAAATTGAACAAGCTCGTACGAGTTAAGCTGACTCCTTCCAGAACGTAACGGAGGGTGACCACTGGATGTTTGCACGAAGCAAAAGACCCTCTCCCAGACCTTCTCGAGGATGGAAACACACGACGGTGGCCTTCAACTCTTTAACATTGAGTGTAGTTCTGTTTTACTTTAAGTTGAAAGTGACAACGAGCATGCGCAGTCAACTGGAACCGAGACACGCTCGACCTCTAAATTGGCTGGAAGTGCTGCGGAAGGTCGCTCACAGAGTTCCACGGATATTTGAAATAACTAGTGTTCTAGGGTAGGTATGTCGAAGGCGACAGCGGAATGAAAACAGGAGGAAACGTGACTCTGTGTTCTGCAAGGTTTGTGCGCGTTCCTCTATGTGTGCACAGGGACATACTCTGAAGAGCATGAGGGAATGAAGATGGGTTCCAGACGAATTTTAATTATGCCTCTAAGCGTAATGGAACATACGGGCGAAGCGTTTACTGGCTTACAGATTGGGCTCGGATAAGCCGATTGTGTAACATGCAACATCACACATAGCAGCAGCTTTACGATTAACAATGAGATGATGGGAAGAATGAAAGCTCACTTTCTATCACTGCGAGAAGCACATCAAAAAACATATTGAAGGCTTTCATGCACTTTTCAAAAACATAGGGAATTCTGTCAAGTCACTTTGTTGCTAGCTTCACAGAAGTAGACGAGCACGGCAAAATTCGAGTCTCCACAACGTAGTGAATCTGCTACAAGTAACGATGTGGAAAAGAATGAAAGATGTACCACTGACGCCTAGAGATAACTCCGACCACGCCTAATTTCAAAATTTTGGCAGTTGAGGCAGGGTGAGCGGTCTTTCAGCTAATATTCAACCGGCAGAAGGCTGTTCCGCTAATCTATGTGACTATGCCTTTAATATTTTTTCACGTTTCTCTGTGTAGCCCTTTTCTGCTGAAGTTGCACGTTTTCTCTTTCAATTCAATTCGCTAAGCTTTGTGACATCTCCTCCTACATCGAGCTCCTTACTATTTGGCTTTCCGAGGTGTTATCTTCCATCTGCGTGCTAATAAACTGCTCGAGTTCTTGTCCACTAAGATATAATGTTTTCTCCAACTGCTGGAACTTCTTTTGGTGTGGTCCTTCTTAACCATACTGCGCCTGTGTACAGCGCTACGAGAAATGCTGAGAAACGAGCAAAGAGTTATTACTCAAATAAATACATTTTGACTTTGGTTATCTAGCAGGGAACTAAACGCTTCAAGGATATATGAATATTGGATGGGATATAAACTGTATAGCTCTTCATTTGTTTAGCCTGCATTATGGGAAGATTCGGTACAGTCTGTGGCCTCGTTACGAGCTCTAGTATTTCAGACTTGAAACGATCATGCCTTTTTCTCGGAAAAATTAGATGTCTTCTTTCCAGGAAGCACTCTTTTAATGAACGGCCCTTGGCTGCAGCTTGCGAACACTGAAACACAATGCTATTTTTGATCGGAAGCACAAACAACGGGGTATGCGTTATAACAGTAAACTCTACATTGTGCTGCATTCGTGACTTAGATTCTTGCAAGGTAGGGAAGACAAGAGGCAGCTCCACTGCAAATGTCTTCACATTCTCACGGACACCTTCAGGTGGGCTCCAAGTTCGGCAGGAATGGCGAAATTCGCACTTCTCTGCATTTCATTGTCACCGATGAAATGGACAGCTCTTTTGCATCAGACTAGATGGCTAACTCGTTGCGGTACAGTACGCGTTAGAAACAGGGAAGAAATGAAGTCTCAGTACCTGAAACGGCGACTCCAAATCCAGGGGATGACGTAGCAGTGTATGTGAATGAAACAGAAAACTACATTACTTCAAAGTCCTCTATGGGGAGGAATGCTCTGGGGAACGCATGTGCAGCATTCATCTGTTACGGCCTGGGAAATGCTCTCAGCCAGTACTTTTAAATAGGCGTTCAGCTTGCGCTGGGCTTCAAAGATAAGGAGCATGTTCAAAGAGCGTGACACTGTCGCTGTTTCATAGCATCTGAATTCTAAATGGAACTGCGGCTTGGCGAGGACTGTACTTCATCGGAAAATGCTCTGCTGTATCATTGTGTTACAGCTAGCTCAGATGGTTCCTTGAAGCATACTACGCTGAGTGCTTGGACTTTCGAAGTATGTCAAAGAGTTTAGACGGTTTTGCTATAGCTTTGAAGCGGCCACACTAATTCCTATGACTTCAACTTTTTTTTTCACCCAGTTAAGTTTCATGAATCTAAATCGTTCAGCACGCTACTTAATGACGGGATCCTGTAGAAACAGTATCATTCCTTGGGAATGCTTCTGACCATTGTTACCGCTGGAAACCGACTGCAAAAAGCAGTGCTCGGTCTCTGCTCTTCCGTTCTTGCTCCAGTTAATATTCAGGGACAGCTTTTGATGTGAATAGCTCGAGAGACCGACAGATTGTGCTGTATAGGCGGACAAAATTGTGGCTTGGCCGCCTTCTGTATGTTTGGTAACCAATGGATGTATGGCGTTCAGAACTGATCGTGATGCTGAATCATGAAAAAATTATCTATTGTATTACTTCACAACTAACCATAGGAAATTATGTTTAATATGCAGCAACTAGAAACCGTGATTCGTTTCGTTCCCGCAAGTCTGGAGAGAAATTTTCAGTAATCAATGCGAAAAGAGACAATGCATTTTCCCGAAGGCGTACGCTTCGCAAGTAGAAAACGTCCCAATTGCGACAGCAAAGCATAAAGTTTGTGATTGCAGACCCCGTAAATTGTGCTAATCTGCGATGGAATTTTTGTGAGAGACTACTACGTGTATGGGATCTGATATTCTAGGGGAAGCGTCATGTTTACAGCATTAAGAAGCTCTATTTGCCCACGTCTTGCCACACTCCAGATTTCTGCGAGAGCCTTGCTGTCCCTTGCTAAGGCTGCGGCACGATCTGCGCATTCTTTGGAAGCAATTGCAAATGCATCTCTCTCAGAGGAATCCTCCACAAAAAGACTTCTTTCGCTGGATCCCGTCTGCTTGCTTTTTCTCTGCAAACGAAAAGGGCGCATTGGAGTCTCCGCAGAATTTTTTTATAAAAGAGGGCTTCAAGGTACACTAAAACGCTGAAGAGAGCTCCGTAAAATTTTAAAAGCCTACCTGCTCATCTAGAAAGCTTGATGAGGCTTGAAGGCATCTTGAGTTGGCACCGGATGGCCAGAGTGCCCGCTCATTTATACTGGTAGTTGCTGTTAAGCTGCACCGGAGGGGAACGACGTCCGTAAATGGCGGCAAAATACTCTTTGCACAGTGACGTGAGTTGCTCTGCGCAGCAGCCTGAAATACCACAAAAACGATTGGAAAGAAGGCGGAAAACCAGCCTAAAAGCTCAAATGCCGAAGAGCATCAAGCGTACAGAAGTGCAGTTGAAAAATTACTTTTCGCTGCTGTAGAAACCTCGGCATCGAGATACAAAATTAATTAGCAACAGTCAATGGAGGACACAAGTAGGCCAGCCACACTTACACTGAGCAAGCGGTTTTGCCCACCCGGAGAAAAAAATGTGCGAGGTCTGTTTCCACGACCAGAGGCAACGGCATGCACGCGCTTGAGCCGGGAGCTGCCGGCATGGTGAAACGCCATGTCAATGCAGCCAGTTCATCGGGGTCTTCAGGCGGCAAAAGAGAAGGAACTTCCAAACTAACGGAGGATCCTTCAGATTTTGATTTCCAGGAGCGCATATCATGAGCGCTTTGTGGAATAGGAGATGAATCTATCATGGGTGTTGCCCAGGGTTTGTCATCGATCAGTGGCGGGGTTGCATCTAAGAAACTGTGCAGGAGATCAGCGTCGGTGACCTCAAGCCCTCCAGTGCATGTTACGAAATCTGTTTCTTTAAGGCGGAAGACGTCAGCGTCACACTTAGCTAATGGCGACAATGCAGCATTGTGGTGCATGCACGTGAGCAATTCACCGACATTCAAATGTTCCTTTCCCCAGAACTGAGGGCCTGGAATGCTTTGCCTTTCCCACTCTTCCCTGCTGTCTGTTGGAAGTGAAAGCCGAGGAGGAGATAGTTTTACTTTCCAACTGCTCTCGGTATTTACCAGGTCAAGTTTTTCGCCTTGCATACCCACAGAAGCTTCCGAAAAGTTTGCAGGAGCTGAGGCCTCTAATCCAGCTGAAGCTACTTGTGATGTGGTTGGCGCCGTTTGCGGCGTATAACCCCCGTGCCTAGCGAAGCACCTTTCGTTTGAATCTGTGTACTGGATTACGTTTTTTCGTTCTAAGACTTCCTGTTGGCTTGCTCTTCTAGCAGCCTCCTCTACCGGAGGCTGAGAGAGGTGCGGATGCTTCTGTTGATTTTTCAGGCTTGCCTTGTCCTTCATTTTGCTTTGAACGGGCTCTTCTCTCATCCCACGTAAACGAGCCCATGAACGCATTGCTGACAGGCGCTTTGCAATTCTGTTGCGAACAATGATTACAGCAACAGCTTGCTTAAATTTGGTGGTAAGCTCATGTTTCCACAGTTGTCTTAATGTGTCCTGCATTTCCCGTGAGCCGGGTTCAATGACCGGAGACAGATTGGTCTGTGAAGACGGGACAACGGGAGCTCCTAAAAATGAACAGCTACTGCGAATTCTATCTTGATGCTGCAACAGCTTAAGCAGCCGCTGAGTGTTCTCTGCCTTCTTAACTTGAATTTTCTGAATTGCGGTATCGGAAGGTAAAGCAGCACCTTTGACTGTATGCGTTCCAAGCTTTTGTGCTCTGAGGACTGCTACGAGATCTGCCCAGCGCTCATCAAGGCACTGCCTTGAAATAGTTTCGTCGCCCCACTTGCTGTTCTCAGGGCGTTTCACTGTGTTCGTCGTAGTGATAGAGTTGTTCTCTTCATTGACATTGCGCTCACGTTTAGATGAAGGCCGCTCAGAGCTTTGAGCAACGGAAATTTGCTTGGGCAGATCCTGTGGCATATCAACACACTGTGGAGCTGCTGAGTCAACGGCGCAATACTGTGGCCCTGGCTTCTCCTTTTCATTTGTATGAAGGCTCTCACAGCTTTCGAATTGTTTCAAGTTTTGATTGGGAGTGCCTTCTTCTGGTGCCTTTTCTCCATAGGAGTCTGCGGGCTCAGTCTCCCCCTGCGTTGACGCTGGCAGCTTAGTTAAGCTCTGTAGAGCCCTGCCAACGTTGCTAGAAGGTTTTTCAGGCTCGTTGCCAATCTCTGCAGGTATGCCCTTCCCTAGAAGCTCTACTCGATGAGGACTGGATTTACTGGCGAAGTACAACAACAATTCATCAGAGTACTCTGAACGAAGGTGGGGAGCAAATCGTAACCAAAGAGTTACAGGCGCTCGAGCTCCAATCATACCGCTCAACGGCTTTACAGAAAATGCACCACTTTTTCCTTTAAGTTCTACTGTGAACTTGATGGGCAACAACGTTGTAGCAGGAAGAACAAGGCGACGTTGTGCCACTGTCCCCAAGTGCGTTGGGCCAAAATCCACACTAGCCGCTATGGAAGATAGTAGAAAATCCTCTTGGTCATCATTTCTGTATGATTCATTGAAACTAGTGCTGGAAGGTACCATAGCATGCTGCTTGCTGGGCGTGCAGTGAGCTATTGCTTTCAGGTGAATCAGCTTCAGATACATCGGAGTCTGGGCACATGCGCTGCCGTCGTCTCTGTTTTTTTTAATTGGAGATGAGCTGTGTTCTGATGCCTTAGTGCAGAAGATTATTCGGATGAACTCTGATTGGGGAGCGCAAACAAGCGGGTTGAAGGAAATCTGTATCCGCTGCTGCATGCCGGAAGGAAGGAAAGACTTCTTGTGGGGAATCGACAGCGAGAAAGCAGAAGAAGATGGGGGTAGTATGCCAAAGGAAACAGTATAACTGCTAACATTTTGTAGCACTACGTCTCGCTGTAGCGGAGTTACGGCCTCGATTTTGTTGGGATCCTTGAAATCAACTTGAAACTCTACGCTTTCAGGTACAGCTCTCAGGATATCATTGTTGTCTTCATGTAAGGGCATCAACCCAACGGCCTCTGTCTGATTAAGAGCCAGCTTGCTGCGCTCTTGCCTTGCAGTGGATATTTCGCTTGCCGTAGCGGGTGGAAGCCGCTGTGCATTGTGCAGTTGAGTATGCACTGTGGTGGCGACTTTTGACCCATAGTGTCGCAAAAATGGTTGGTTAACCCGCGATGTTGCATTGTTGCGCTTTTTTGTAGGAGAATGCTTTGGTGGCTTAAGTGTAGGAGTCCCTTCCTCTTCCGGGACTTCAGGGGGACGGTCGGAGTCAGAGCTGGAACCTTCCATTGGGCTAATTCTGCGCCGCTGGTTCAATTTAAAAAGGCAATATTCTACGAAAGCTTAGAGACTATCACCATTACTTCAAAGCAGGATTACTAGAGGAACAACTGCGCTGTAAACGGAGGAGACGTATCATTGCGGTTTGCACTCCAGTGCGAGTAATAGGACAAATCCTGCTAGTGTGTGCTTGCAAAAAGATATCTTCATGACAGATAGTTTGCACAGTGTACTGGCATTCCAATGTATTTAGAACATCATTTATTGTTTTAATGGTTTATGCGTTTCAAAGACAGCTGAGTTTATTGCACCAAGCGTGTGCAGATGAGTGACAGCCCCAGGGACCACTCGATGCATCCAGCAAACAGCGTTTCGTCAAACTTCTTAGAAAAGGGTTCGGACTCGCCTAGCCAAAAAAAGAACTCTTAAGGATCGCAACTTGCATCCTTGGTGCCACAGCTTTCTGCTACGAAACTCATAGAATGTTCACGCCTTGAGACCGCTCATGTTGTACAGTAGGCCCAGAGGTATGCTTCTTCCAGGTTATACGCTGGCAAACTATGTTTGAGTCACAATATAATAATAGTCGGATAGATGTCTGTTGAGTTGATGCAAGAACTTCAGAGGAGCTTCTTACACGAATACAAAATGTCATGGCACGTTTGGGAGAGCGGCATGGGGTTTCTTCGTTACGGTGAGTTAACTCGACAGCAGAAACCACAGGGAGCCAAACAAACTAGTTGCTGAGAAATTTCAAGTCAGCATCAACAGAGAAACCTCAAAACCGTTCGATTTCTTCCTTCTACAAAACACCCGCTGCACTGGGAACTTTCCTATTACATGCAAGCATGCCTCCTGTTTGCTTGGACAGCAGAAATGCGTTTGAGGCTGTTGGACTCTTTTGCTGCCTCGCCTACAGTCTACCGTATGCTTGATCGTAATTATGTCCAAACATAAAGCCCTCAAGTGTACTTCTTTCAGCGTTTTTGAAGGCTAGTTTTTAACAGCAACGCCAAGGACAGCCGGGAGGCTGGCGAATGGAATGGCATGGCGCGACACATGGACTTAAACTAAGGGACCCAGCGAAGTTGAGCTAGGCCAACGGTCACTGCTTGTTTGCGGTGCGGGTTATCCGAGCGTTTGCTGCATCTGGGCTTGGAAAGAGACGGCGCTTCCCGCCCGTATTGCGGGCTTATGCGGCAAGGTTTGTCTATGTCTGCGGGCTTTCATGTGTACCTGGATTCGTGTTCTAATCGTGGGAGCGAGCCTTCGTAAAATGCAGCGTGAAAGAAGAAGAGTCTGAGTGTCCTTATTTCCACAAGAAAAGACGCGGAATGTTACTTGTTAAAAGCTCTTGACCCCGAACGGTTCCTCAGCCTGAATCCCTCCAAATGAGGGCTGCTCGTCTGTTCGCTGGGGATTTCGGGCAGTTGCTGGGAGCCTCAACTCAGTCTTTCCTCCTTGGGCAGAAAGTAGGATATGTCTTTGTGGCATAAGAATAGGTGAGTTTGCCTCGAAAAAATTGCCTATAAAGCCAACTGGTTTCATGTGTCACGCAAAACCGTTGCTCCACCATTGTACGCACAGCTCTCTCAGTTGCACCAGTGGACGCCACATGGCTCAACCATCTCAATTTCCTCAAAAGGTCGCAACTGAACTGGAACATGGTGATGCCGTCCGAAGTTTCCCTTAGGAGGTGACACAGAACAGGGTTAAACCCAAATTCTGTGGTTAAGATACTCAACGAGATAACGCTAGTCTTCTTTGGCCCCATTAGGCATGTTCACTATAGTATGGTAAATAATCCATGAGCAAAAACTATACAGTGTACAGAGGATAGCTGAAGCAAGTGTCAACGGGAGCAGAAGTGTGCTTATAGGACATGTAGCAAGAGGAAATCGTAAAAACTCTGCAGAACTGCTTTTAAGCAAGAGGAATCTTTGTTAAGCCTATCGAGAAAAATCCGGGGCGAAGTGTTCTGAAGCGAAAATCTTTTTCGGCAGCCTCTTCGGTGATGTTAAGTGACACTCGTTTCAGTCGAACATTTATTGTAGCCCGATGCAGGTTCCTCAAAAGCCGTTAAAAGCAAGTGGCAAAAGAATGTGTCCAAAACAGCCGCTCTGCGGATTTTTCGTTTGCAGCTGCGCTTTCTGGGTGAAAAAGTATTTCTAATTATTGCAGCATGGAGCTACAAAAGGTAAGAGAAGAAGAGAGCGAGACGGGACTCGAACCCGCAACCTCCGCCTCCGGAGGGCGACGCGCTATCCATTGCGCCACTCACTCGACGGTCCCCAAGAAAATTGATTAAGGCAAGACGAAGTGATTGACTGCCATCTGTGCCTCAATCAATTTTCTCGCGGACCGTCGAGTGAGTGGCGCAATGGATAGCGCGTCGCCCTCCGGAGGCGGAGGTTGCGGGTTCGAGTCCCGTCTCGCTCTCTTCTTTTCTTATCTTTTTTGCTGGTGAAGGATTGAGGATGTAGGTCCGCAAGTAAACTCTGGGAATTGGTGACTGTTTCTTCCACTGGTAGGCTCCAAGAGCAGCAATGCGTCGTCTGTTGCTTCAGCTTGACTGTAATAACAAAACAGCAATATTGGTAACCCCTGGACTAAAATAATGGGATTTCCTTGTTGGGAAACGTGGGAAGGCTGCCAAACTGCTGCACCGTGCACTAGAAGTTACCTACCTGAGAAGGTGCCACCTTCGCAACAAACTTTACTCGAACTCTAAAGTATGTTACGCCGTGCTGTCCTTCGGTTCTTAGTCGCCACTAATTTTCTCACCAAAGCGGCTGCATAACCTGGGTACACCCACATCTCAGGTTTCAGGTTTCCTTTAATGCACAAAAAAACTTTCTTAAGCCATGGAAATTGCTTTTTGCAATCTACTGGGAGACCTAGAATTGTCACGTTCTAGTCTGCCACATGTTGATAGTGCCATGGCATAACATTGCTACTTGAGAACAAGGCCATGGAATATACATGAGGTACTGTGTGCTTCAAATGTAAATTTGTTAGTTTGGATTTACGGAATGAAACTGCATCTTTGCTTCCACGGTTTACGCTTGTTTCATACACGTGTATTTTGTCGGTATGGCTCAGGTACAAGCTACAGTTTTTGCCTGGTTTTGAAATTTGATGGAATTTACGAGGTAAAAGCATTATACGGCATGCACAGCAGCGGGACATGCGTCAGGAAAGATTAAGTCTTTTCAACTTTCGGAAGAAATGAGACAAAAAATTCAGATTCTGAGTGCCAATATAGAATGGAAAAATTATTGTTTCCTTGCATTGCTAAATATATTCATTTTACTCCGTCAGCCACGGTTTCCTACATCATTAGTTGCCGCATGCATCTGGTGTGCAGCCCCATAGCTCACTTACTTGAACATAGCGTTGGACGCTTCTTGTACGAGATCGATAGTTGGCAGCAGAAAAAACAGTAATGACAACCAACAGCAATTGAGAGGATCTACTCTTACCTTACACGAAGCGCTTGCCCGTTTTGCGGAAAAGAACCACTAGCCCACTGCACACTGCCAAACTGTCCTTGTCTCTTACACTATTCATTCAAGGCGGTGATATCGAGTTGGACGAATTCAGCAACGTACTCTCCTTAACAACTCGTAATCATATGGTAATGTTGTAGCATGACCATGCTTGAACGAAAATATATCATTGGGGCTTTGTTCATCTATCGCGCTGAACTTTTTGCCGCTCAAAGGAGCAGTGCTGCGGTCTCGCAACATATATGCTGCTGCCTCACGAGACTAAACTATCAAGCAAAAATCGAGCACATGGGTGAATGGATGTGTGTCTAAATCTCGACGTCCTTTGGAGCCGAATTTATGGGAAAGGGGAGCCAAGTCTCCTTCTCCCAACAAGCCAAAGATTCCTGCCGAAGAGTGTTAGAGCAAGCCCGCGGTGAAGGGCATACCCTAAAAACGTTTCTAGGGTCTCACAGTTTTTTGAAGCATATTTATTTGGCAATGCTCCATGAATCTTCCGAGGCTCGCACCTGTAACCATGCGTGTGAGCCTGCCAATGACGCCCGAACATATCTTGGACTAAGAGCACAAAGTGCAGCGTGCGGCTCGAGCCAAATTCAGCCGATTCAGAGCCGACAAGAAGGCATTAGGCTTGGGTTTTTCGAATGCCACGTCTGCCTAATTCCTAGGAGACAAGCAGATGAACAACCTGGCTCTCAGGCCCAGAGAACGGCCCAAGAGTGTCAGTTGGCTCCAGGTAGCTCAGCTGAACTCTATCGCCTCTGTGCCAGCAGCGTACCTCCTACACTTAGGCAAAGCTGTCTCAATAAAGCTCTGACCACCAGTCACAACGGAACATTTTTGTTTCTGCATCCACCCGGCGGCATAGCAGCAAAACAGGAGTCAAGTTGCTCCAAAGAAGTCGATAATCGCTTCTGGCGAGTGACGTCCGTAACCAACACTCTGCAATACGCTTGTAAAGCAGAAGTGGAGGAAAGTAATAAAAGCAATGAAAATCAGGAAGAAAGCCAACCGTGGGACGGCGTGCTTCGTCGGGTTGCACACTGGTTGGTTGCAGACCGTCTTAGCGCCACTGTACTCATTTTGGGAGGCAACCGAGCTTGGAAGAGCAACAGCATGCATGACTCAAAAAATTATGCTAGCGCACCCAGAGATAGCGCTCAACGCCGCTGGAGACCGTGCATCGCGCAGCGTGTATGCGCTCATGCCTTCGCAGTAGCGAAGTTTCAAGGCAACCCTTGTAAGAAGCCGCTGCTTGCGGCATACAATAATTGGTTGCGCAGTGCAACGCTGCAAGTAATGTGTTGCTGCCAAATTTGAATGAAAAGGGGGCTTTTGGGTGTTAAACACATTGCACACATCAACCTTACTCCTTCTTGAGGGGTGTAGGCAAAACCATCGGTTACTTGACATTACCTGATACGTGTCATTGCAGACGCCTCTTATTCTTGCGTCATTCATGCCCTTAGTTGACCTAGTATGTAGCTAAATAAGTGTCCG